TCTTGGATAAAGACAGTTGTAATCTTCTACCATAAATCTGTGTGATCATTCATTTACAAATCGAGTATAACAGGTTTTTGCACAATTTTTGCAATTTATTTTATAAATTCTTGTCCCAAATTGATATTTTCTGATATTTGAAAAAATCTGTACCAGTTGGCCTACAATGTAGATATCATCAAACAAAGTTCACTGCGATCAAAAATGTTATCCGAAACATCGAAAAAATATATAGTACTTAGTGATTTAGCATGTTTTGTCCCCATTTTTCAAAACAATACAAACGTTTTTCACGGACACTTGAATATTTTATTATGTATACTGATTAATCATTAACGGGATGTCTTTTCCCACTAGTGAAATATTTAGAAATAGTAACGGGCAGAGTGTTTCTGTGAAATATCTGGATAATACCTAAGTCTGAAATTAAAGCTTCAAACTGATGTAATTTTTTATTTTGGTTCACAAGAATAGCGAATAAGATGGTTATGGTTAGGTTAAGGTTCACTGACTATGGAATAACTCTATTAAAACATTTTTGAAAACAACAAAAATAAAGAACCTACATATCTACTGAAAGAGGAAGTACATCATTGTACTCATCATCTTACACATGAGATCCAACGTTGGCGCCAACGTTGGGTCAATTGTGTTACCACGTTTGGTGAGGCATCCACACATTGGGTTGAGGCATCAACGGCAACACCAATATTAGCGCGAATCCCTTTGATGTGTACGCAAAAACCGACACTCCACGGAAAACTCCCAACGTTGGAGCAAGTCATAAAAACGTTGGCGCCAACATTGGCTCCAACACAGTTTTGTCGGTACACACATTGGCCGAATGCTGTTGGGGCCAACGTTGGCCCCCATGTATGGAGCCGGCGTTACAGTTATGGATTTATCGTTCATAAGTTTTATATGTAGAGATTTGGCCATGTCAACTTACTTTGCCATTTTAGCGTTTTTATTGCGTTTTCTATTTTTTCTTTTAAATATATTTGGCCCAGTTACATGATTTATTCAATACTCCAGTCAAGGAAGAAAAAAGCTGAAAAAGTTTTATATTTAAAGGTTCTGAAAGGTATATGAGGGGTAGCTGGTTTTCTTTTGTCTTTATTCTAAAGAGTCGCCCTCCAAAAAAAAAAAAGAAAACCTAGTGACGGCCTTACTCTCCAAGCAAAACACGAGTAGCCGTTTGTAAACATTTCAATGTATTGGCTTACCCTATCTCCTTGTTCAATCCCCTTTTTTAACCCCCTATAAGTAATTATAATTGCTACACCTTCTATTTAATTGAGTACGATATTGTATTAACTGTATTGTCTCAAAACAAGAAAGCACTACAATAACATTAATGCTATAATTCATATACTGTTAATACAAAAACAAGATCAGAAAGTTATTTCTGGACAAATAAATCGAAATCAACACTTATTTTTGAATGACTGAAGCATTACCCATAATTACAAAAATTAAGGTTACGATGTACAATATGTAAGTTTCACGTTGAACAAATACATTCTCCAAACAACTCATTAAAACGATAGTAAGGTATTTTTAGAGCTTTAATGATAAGTTTACACCATTACATTTCTAAAATAATGCTCTTGATTTATATTTTGTTAATTAATATTATTCACGTAAAGAAAAGTATACAGTGAGTCTCAAAAATAGTTTGTTACATACTTACACATTGTCAGACATTGATCTGGGTGGAAAAGATTTGAGGCTAATATGAAGTGGAGATGTGGAAGCTTTTTGACACATTACAAATTGAAGGCGGTTATTGCAATTCATATCTTAATCTAATTTTTAGATTAACAGAATGTTACGTATGATCAGTTAGTAGGTCATCGTCATAATCATTGCTTCTACAGCCCTATAAAAGAGCCTCGACCTTCCCAAGTCTATCCAGTCAGTTCCATCCATTGCCAACTGTTTTGCCATTACCTATTTTTCTACCATCCTCATCTACACCATCCCTCCATATGAGTTTTGGCCTACACCTACTTCTACTTTCCACATATTGTGACATAAGGATTCTTCTCGGAGGGTTGTTCTGCTGTGATATTGCCAGATGTCCTGCCCATCTTAGTCTTCCTATTTTTATAAGAGATACTACGTTTTTACCACCAAATATATGTTTATATCTGTGATATATCTCGTAGTTGTACCTCCTTTTCCAAACACTATAGCTTAGTGAAGCTATAGTAGGTTGTAGGTAAGTAGGAAGACCAAGAAAGAGATAAATAAACGAAGTGAGAACCGATGCTAACGAGATATTCAGGGTAGATAACTGATGTAGAGCAGCCATGGAAAGGGATCCACAACCCTGCACAATGGATAATATCTATTTCTGCTATCGACATCAGTCTAACAAACCTAAGAAAATCAGAGATGTCATCAATCGTCATTAAACAAAAGTTTCATACACTATTAAACAGATATGGCAATACCTACAAGGTATACACCGATGCGTCAAAAAATGAAGACAGAGTTATAGAAGCAATGTATTCGGAAGACTCCTCAGTTAGTTTCAAATTGTCGTAAATTACAAGTGGCTAAATTACAAAAACATAGAAAGATGTATAATAATCACAGATTCTCTAAATTCATTATCCTCACTGACTCAATTGTACTGTGACAACCATCTTCTTCTTATTATTAAAAAAGAACTTAAAAACATTTCAAATAAGAACATTCAAGTTTACTTTTTTTAGGTGCCTTCTCATATCGGAATTGAAGGTAACCAAGTTGTAGATAAACTGGCTAAAAACGCTTCAACTAACCCGATATCCGAAGAAAGTAACATATTGGTACAAAACGATTTAAAAACATACTTAAAACAAAAAATAATTGAAAAATGGCAAACAACTTGGAACAACACTCCAACAAGGCTATACAAAGTCAACAAACATCCACATCTTTGGAAACCAAAAATAAAAGACAAAAGAGAGCAAGTGATACTTACCCGTCTCCGTATCGGCCATACACGACTTACTCATGACTATTCATTACAGCGCAAAAACAAACCAGTGTGTGAAGTATGTAACAGTGTTCTAACGGTAAAATATTTTTTAATACAGTGTCCCAAATAAACAGTGAACGATTCAAATATAGCATACCCAACTCCCTAAGAGGTGCCCTAGGGGAAATACAGATACCCAAAAAATATTTTCTTATCTTAAAGACTGTCAACTACTTCAAAAGATCTAAAAAATACATTGTAATACACATACATATTATTATTGTAAACTAATGTATACATACTAATTGTATCAACTGTCACATTAATCTAAATACGCTAATGTTGATGCGTTATTAAAATAAAAAAGAAATGAAATTTTGAGATCTATAAAATGTGAACTTTTGAAACTCATAATATAAAGTGGTTACATGAGATATAGATCATTTCCTGGTTGCTTACCCTGTATAGTTCCGTGTAAATAAATGTATCAATACATCAATCTGATAAACGTTGAGTGACACGTGAAAAACAGCTGGCTTTTTAACAACACGGGTGCGTGTTACACTCATATACTTCTTTTTTGAGTGGAGTAAGTTTATTTTGAAGATAAGCAACATGCTGCTAGAAAAGCTCCGTAGGTTATGCGATAAATATTTGATATCTATCAAATTTATACCCCATACGGTCTTTGTACAGCATAATTATGCCTTATGCCCATACAATCGACCAAATAGAACAGAATAACTTTGAACGAGATCCTACAGCATACACAAGGAATAATGCGAGGAAAATTAGAATACCATACATAAAATAATTATCAGAAAAACTTAAAAGGATAGGAAATAAATTCAAGATTTCAATAAAATTCCCAACAACAAACACAGTGAGATCTATTTTGTCTAAAAAAAACCTAACAATGAACAAGAAAGGACAAAAAATTGTATTTATAAAATACATTGTGAATGCGATCAGTTTTATTTAGGTGAAACATCAAGGCCATTAAATATTAGAATAAGTGAACATCAATCTTAGATTAAAAATAGAGAATTTGATAGATCTCAAATATGTAAACACGTATGGGATAATCAACATAGGGTTCAATGGAATGATTCAAATATAGTCCTAAAAGAAACGGAAGGTAAAAAGAGAACAATGAAAGAACAACCAAAGAAGCGGCTCTAATTATGCTAAATGAGACCAATTGTGTCGCAAATTCCTCGGCAGAATGTAGTAGGATCTGGTTACCTATATTAAAAGAGGAAGTTATAAAAAGAAAATAGCAGTATTAGTAAGTCAGTAACGTATAGAGATACATCGTTTATGTTTTTTAAATAACAAACATATAAAATCAGAATTTTGGTGTTTATTAAAAGTAAACTAAATGCGCGACCAAATACTTATCATGTCGGGATAGTATTATGAGGTTTTTTCCTGGTTTTTCCCTCATAATTTACTATGGAATCACTAACAGAAGAGTTTTACTGTCATCATGGCATACGTTTGTCTTTTTAAAGACTAATTACATGCTATGATTTTTTCTGACGGATAATCTCAAGTTAAAGTTGATTTCATGTAATCGAATCTAACAAGTAAAGTCACCCCAGGAACGCAACTCAACAATATTGCCAATATCACTTTAAAGTCGTTTATTTTAAAATGTATAATGTATGTTTGAATTGTCAATATAAATGAGTTACATAAAATTAAATTATTAGAAGAATTTTTTCACCAAGTAACAAAAAAACAAAATTTGTTTAATTTACTAATGTTTGTATTTTGAGAACGATTTCCGAAGTGGAAATTGAAACGTCAATAAACGTACTTTAACCTTTAATTGTAGCTTATTCCCATTTAAATAGTTACCCTTATCCAGCTATGCCCTTTGAGCTATTATTTTCAATATGTCTCACTAAAATCGACAAAAAATCCAGCAAAAACTTTTAAAATATACAATAAATACAAATACAGTTAAATATGCTTATTTTCTGATCATAATAATCATTAATAACAGATATTCTTTTTTTTTCAGTATATTATTACAATTTTACATGGAAAGACTATGGAGACGCTACATTATCCGGTCTATTAAACATGGTGAAAGTTTTGACGTTTGCATTGACTGAGGGGCGGGTGGCAATTCACTGTCATGCAGGTATGTAAAAATGATAATATTAGCGGGAACATGCCATTCAAGTTCATTGAAATATCGATTCCACCTACATCATTTGAATGAGATAATAAAGTGATTACTAAATTAGTATACCGTCGGTGGTTATCGTTTGACGTTGGGAGTCCATTAACTTGCAATAGCGGTTTTCGTTAAATAATAACTTGATAGAGGAGTATTAGTTTCTATTGGTTAGGTTGGTTAAAAAATCGAACACATTAGTATAATATATGGCAAAAGAATAATACACCTGACCAAAAATATAAATACAGTAAGTTCTCTTTTTATGCGGATTTTTTTTTGCGCGATTTTAAAGTTGTGCAGTTTGTATTTCATCAAAAAATTTCTATTATTAACTATGATAACAAAAACGTTACTGATCATGGTGGTCGGATCCCAAGACCCAGCAGGGGAGGATGCACAAAACCAAATAGTAGTTCCTCCCAGTTCGTTAGCCAAGAACTTGGAATGTACGAAGTATGTACGAGAGCGGCAAAACTCATAACATTGTAAAAGAGATGAAAATATTAAAAACTGATATATTGGGAATTGGTGAAACACACTGGCAAAACTCTGGACAATGCGATATACTTAGATATAAAGTTTGTTATGCTGGAAACAACACAACACATCACAGAAACGGCACCGCTTGCCCCACATGTTAATTCGGCAGTAAAATCTTTCACTCCCCATTTCTATTCCCCACAGTTCTATTTCCTTTGAAAGTCTGTGCAAAATTTCTTCATTCGTGACTCTGTCTATGTAAGATGTTCTCATGATTCTACTGTAGTAGGAAGCAGTGTACATAAACAACTACAGGAAGCAAGATTTCCAACCTTGAGAAAAAAAGAGTCACTGAATCAACTACAAAATCAACAGCTACCAGTGGTTACAACAAATATAAGTACAACGCAAAGATCTACATATGCTCAAATGGTAAATACCAACCTACAAGAAAATCCAATGGTCACTCAGATAATTTGACATACAGGAGTTAAAGAATATTCTTGAAGGGCTTAGGTATGTAACGGAAACATTGAGCACCATGCTAAACGTAATCACAACACTTGAATTAAAAATAATAAAGATAAACTAATGACTAGTACCTTCCTTATTCTAATTCCTTTGAAAGCCTTCGCAAGACTTCTTCATTCGTGACTCTATCTACGTAAATAGTTTCAAGAGTCACATCTCGAAAATTTCCACTTTTCTTATGATCCCTTTAGTCAGCCTCTATACCGTATAGGAGGATACTAAATATATATAATCTAAAACATGGTCTCGAATATATTGTTATCTGGCACAATGTTTATATGTTACTAAATTGAATTATACAAATGAAAATTAAACAAAAAATAATTCTCTAAGCTCGAAGACAAAATTAATTACAATAATATGTATAATTTTTTTTTCAAATTTTCATTTCCATACAAATGACAGATTCTTAAGTCTATTATATTTTCAGGACTGGGCAGAACAGGAGTTCTTATAGCCTGTTACTTGGTATATTCCTTAAGGGTATCAGCAAATGACGCTATACGATATGTAAGACTTAAACGACCTGGTTCAGTTCAAACTAGAGGTCAAATTATATGTGTAAGGCATTTTGCCCACTTTATTCTTCCTAAAACTATAACATATTTTATAAAGTGAGTATAAAATAACTATTCTAATTCTCATAATGAAACACTAAAGTATATATTAATTATTAAGCAAAAGAGAACCTTATAACCAAGTCACAAAATGTATTTCATATGTTTAACCAAATAGTTTGTTACACTGAAAAAAAAAACATCGCAACTGAAATAATTCGTGAAAATTAAATTTTTTTCAGTTAAAAATTTGCAACTTATAAGGTAAGTTGACCAAATAAGGCCCACTTAATGTTTGTTAGTTGTTTTTTGAAAAAAAAAATCACGATAGAAATCTGAAAACCACAGAGAAAATAAATCACATATTTAAATTTAATATGAGATTGTTAAATTTTGTTAAAAGTTTTATGAGTTGTTACTTTTTAGTCTTTAAAAAATAGTTGCTTCTGGGCCTAATTAGGAACACCATGTTCTTAATAAGGCCCACTTTTTAAATGTGACCATTATGCCTAATTGCACCAACAGATCTTTAGCTCAGTTTAGCCCAGTTCAGCTTATGTCGCATTGACGTTCCACGTACGTTTAAAGCTTAAGGTCTATTGGTGCAACTATACATTAATCAAATTAAACAAAGGTGACATGTAGGACATTTATTTTGTAAAAAATAATAGGTAGGTACTTAAAATAATTATTGCAAACAGTCTGTACATATGAAAACTAAGTCTTTATCATCTGCTGAAAGTCCTACACACTCTTCATGGATATATCTTTTGCAGCTGTCACAAAGTCTCATATCCTTAACGACATCCTCATTGCAGACGAAACAATACCAACTATCTTTTCGTTCTTCTTTGTTTTTTGAGGTTTCAAGTGAGCTGTGTTTATTTTTCTCTTCTCCTTTTTTTAGTTGTTTTTTGACTATTTTTCCGTTTGCCAAGTTTTTTCCTTTTCTTGATTGGTTTTTAGGGTCATTTAAACCAGCTTCATCAAACAATGATTTTGTGACTTCCTGTGCTCGATAGTTCAGGGATTTCTTTCTAGCACCTTTGCGTTTTCCAGTTTCCAATTCTGGTGTTATTAACACTGCGTTAAAACTTACTGACATTTCGTTTTCTTCTTCTGAGCTGTCATGTACTGAAAATTCATTGTCAGAACCGTCAGAACTCTCAGAGCTATCTTGCGTATTTTTCTCCTTTAGAGCTTATATTTTCTTTTTTCTGTCTGGAGTGGAGCTGCCAATAGGATTATTCGTTGCGGAAGTCGAAGCTGATGGAATAGCAGAATCTTCCGAGTCTAATTTATTTTCTGTTATTTCTGATGGGCAAAAAGCTATGTCAGGAATGACACTCGGATCATACGGGTATATTCCCGTAGCACAAAAACCTGAAATAACATTTGATGCTGTAGTTGCTTTTGGCCATTCTTTTGAGAAAATTGTGCCAAACGAAAATTTATTGATCGTTCGATCTGGTTTATTTGTCCAGTAGGTGATAACTTCGTCGTCCCAGTAAGATTCGAAGGCTTTAAATACCGCCTTGTCCATAGGTTGCAGTTCATGTGTGCAATTACTTGGCAGGCAAAAAAGCGTAATTTCATGCGACTCGGCTTCATCAACAATACCTGCATCCAGATGGGACGATGCTCCGTCAAAAATAAGCAGTATTCTTCCTATTGGCTTGTACTTAGCAAAATGTTGTACCCACTTAATGAAAACTGGCGTAGTCATACTTCCTTTCTCGGTCATTTCAATAACTGTTCCAGCAGGAAGATTGTCATACCATTTATTCTTCTTTCTTTTTCCTTTGAACAAGATCATAGGTGGAATTATTTGTCCTACAGCATTTCCATAACCGACGATTGACACATTCTCGTGCTCTTGCGAAATCAAATGAACTCGTTTGACACCTTTACGAGCATATACCTGTTGTGATTTATGAAGGTTTAGGCGGCAACCTTTCTCGTCAATATTAAAAATGCGTTGAGGGCTTTGCAGGATATCAAGCTTCAACATAACTTCGCGTAGCTTTTCAAAATAGTCATTGACTATGAATCTGTTTAATTTGGCGGCTCTAGCTGGATTCATGAATTGAGATTTTCTTTTAACTACTTCGGGATGTCGATTTAAAAAAAGTTTGAGCCATTTTCGACCAGCTAAGTTTTTATCGATAAAAGGTGCAGATATGCCATTTCTTTGGCAATATTCATGGACAGAACGTCTTATCACTGTTGATGTCAGAGGCATTCCAACGTCAGTTAGCCTAAAAATTCTTCCACACAACTCAGATTCTTGTTGGGGGGTTAAACATGAAGGGCGCCAAGTTTCTTTTCCGCTTTTCCACTAAGCAAATGATTCCTAAGTGTTCGACGGGCAATATTAAATTCTTTGGCGGCTGTTCTTACTGACATCCCATTTTTAACTGCTTGCAAGGCCAAAGCCATTTGTTCTTCAGTCCATAAAGCTCTAGGCATCTTAAGCTTTTTAGTATTCTTTCTGAAACAAAGTTAAAAACTTATAAAACGTGTTATTGTAGTGGTCTTAACAATGCCCACCCGTAGTCTTAATAAGGCCCACCCGTGCCTTATTAGCAATACTGTAGGTATCAATGTTTTTAGAAATTACCATTATTTACGTTTTAATAAACATAAGGTAATTCAGGTACTATGAAAGTACAACTAATAAGTACACAAATGTCATGCAAAATAAAAAAAATCGCACTCATAATCGTATTAAATTATAAAAGCATACTAACCTCAATATTAGATTGGATGTTTACCCATTGACCACTGTAAACGAATGATCATATAAAAGCGACAGTTCGCGTCGCTGCTCAACTTAGTGTAACAATTTGCACCTAGATGGCTCTACTGCATCTGTACATTGCAGCATACTGCCATTATTTGTCCATCCTGAGGAATATGGGCGAGTGGGCTTTATTAGGAACCGGGCTTTATTTGGCGAACCTACGTTATAAAATGACACTTTAGGATACAAGAAAAAGTTTTAGAATTAGATCTTACCACGTTTTCGATCTTATAAAAGTCCTTTTTTGTGCTCTCTGGAAACCGTCTGTTATAAACCGGTCGTAAATAGTGCTACAAGCACAACTCTATTCACACGCGTATGTGTCTGGTGGATATGTCCGGCGGAAAGATCCGTTGTTAGCTATATACAGGAAGATGTGTCTACAGACAAATTCGTTGGCGCTACACATTCACGGACAAATCTCTCAGTTCTACTGGTTTCTGCGTTGTGTGTTTATCTGTTTTCCACTGTGCTATAAATAATAAAAAGCAACTAGCAATAATTGGAGGATATATAGTTTTATTTAATGTGCTATTTTCGATGCGTGCAACTGCCTTCTGATTATAATACAGAGTAGATATTATTCTTATATCGCGAGTGTCTAACTGTTTAGCTCTCAAGATCTCTAAGTTGGTCATGCTTGACGTTATCAAACGCCTTGTTGTAATCAATAAAACAAGCAAATACATATTGATTCACATCCAAACACCTCTGTGTCAAGATGTTAAAGGCAAATAATGCTTCGCGAGTTCCATATCCCTCTCGGAATCCATACCGAGTTTCTACGATATCTTCTTCCAATTTTCTGTAAATTCTATTGTGAATCATTTTGAGGAATATTTTTAAGGTATGGCTTATCAGACTAATCGTGCGATGATCACTGCACTGTTTAACATGTAACTTCTTAGGAAGAGGGACAAAGGTTGATCTTAGCCATTCTTCAGGAATTATACTGTTTTCATAAATCTTGTGAAATAAGTCTACTAACAAATGGATTCGATCTTCGTCTATCAACTTTAGTATATCCGCTGGTAGCTCGTCTGGTCTGTGATGACTTTACCGCTTGCATTACTTCTTCTTTGCTTATTTTTGTATCCTCATGCGTACAGAGCCTTAAATTCCCTAGGACTTCATTTATGACGATATTGAATAATGTATAACTTGAATTACGATTCTTCTTAAATGTACCTTTAATAATTTTTATATATTTATTAGTATTACTGAAACCATTAGTATTTTTTCAGAGATCTTGTAGGTAAGGACAAGCATATGAATGAATTTACGCTCCATAGATTTTTAAGAAGACAAAAAATAGTCTTACATGGATATGATGAACGAAATTTTAAATTTATTCCAAAGGTAAGAAGTCTTCTATTTGGTTTTGTAATTTTTCATTTACTATTATGTAGTATATTATCGATCTCCATTCTCGAGCACTAGATGTGTATTTGTGAATATCTGTCTGCACAAAGAACTTGTTCGTGATTTTTAATTTGTTCTTGGTAATGAAGTGGCTCAATAGACGAAGAAATCATTAGCATTATTGTCGAACAAACCAACATATACGCAAATCAGGTGATTGTGAATAACATCGTTGAAGAAACTATCCGTCCATCTTCAAGACTGCATAAATGGAGAGACATAGACGTGACTGAAATGTATTGCTTTTTGGGGGGACTGATTTGGATAGGTCTGGACTATAAACCTAAACTGGCTGATTATTGGAGAAATTCAGATTTATACTGGTCAAAAGCTGCAGGATACAGGTCTCGAAGTAGATTTGAAATTTTGTTGAGTATGTGGCACTTCGCAAATAATGATTTATGTCAAGCAGAAGACAGACTGTACAAAGTTCAGTCCCTGGTAACTTTGCTAAATTACAAATTTAAAAAGGTTATAGTACCAGACGAAAATATCTGCATAGATAAAACGATGGTACCCTTTCGCGGGCGTTTAAAATTTCGCCAATATGTGAAAGGGAAGAAACATAAAGTTGGAATCAAACTCTTTAAGCTATGCCTCAATGGGGGATATACGTATCATTGCAAAATGTATTGTTGTGCAGACAGAATTGATGGCATGTCTGTGGCATCTAAAGTAGTATTTGAACTTATGGACGAATGTCTCGATGAAGGATAAAGGAATGACATTGTACACTGACAACTGGTACACCAGTCTAGAGCTAGCTGAAAAGTTACAAAGCAGACAAACGCACCTAGTAGGAACACTACGAAAAAATCGGAAAGGTATTCCGAAAGAAGTACTAGTAAGCAACCTGAAGAAGGGTTAAATTGTAGGAAGAGCGAGAAACGGCATTGTCATTTTTAAATGCAAAGATAAGCGCGATGTTCTGATGCTTACCTCCAAACATAAACTGAATTTTATTGGTGTTCCAGGTAGAATTGAGTCAAAAAAGCCGGAAGCTACTGTGGCTTATAATATTGCAAAAAGTTTAATTGATGTATCCGACCAAATGTCGTCTTATTCTACCTCTATTAGACGGAGCATTAAATGGTACAGGAAGGTGGCAGCTGAACTACTTACTGTAACAAGCATAGTAAATGCCCACTATTTATATGATAAGAACAAAACTGTACCAGAAAGAATAAGTATAACAGATTTAAAAAAAAAATGTGCTTGAAACTACTTTCAAAAGGTAAACAAAGTTATACGTAAATAAGTGCGTATATACGTAATAAAGTGCGTAATATGTTACCAACGAAATAAAGATGACCATGGACGACAGTATACAATAAATAAAACTAAGCAAGTTACTACTAAATGCCAAGTCTGTGGCCAAAAATTTCTCTCAAAAAAGAATGTTTTTTTGATAAGCACCAAATTTTGCCAAAATAGTCAATTGAGTATAATTTAAAATATGTATTATTATTTTATTTTATAGTGTATTATTGTATCTATTGTATCTATTATTAATCGCAATAGACACTTTTAAATCAAAATTAATTAGCGTCTAAGTTATAAAAATCTACTATAATTTAACTGCTAATAGAAAAATGACGAAGTATTTTTTTCCCAGGCTAAGATCATTTGTGCCGATCTTTACTGCCTGTGTATATGTAAATATACACGTGGCGGTTTGAACTCAGCCACTGTGTATATTCAGGTATACACATGGCAGTCAAAGTGTTAAGATCAAACGTTTAAAATGTTCTGCAATATATATGTTACCTATACTTTATGTTTTTTTCCTGTTTTACTAATTTTTTTTTAGATTATCCATTGCTTATGTGAAAGAATATTGAAATTATGTGCTTGTTGGGTTGATGAGTTTCCTCCGTCGAATATACCATACACGGTGGACTTTTTATCAGCCAAAATTCATGGGAATTTAAATAGGCACGCAAGTTCTTACAGTATAAGTAGTATATCGAGTTCAAACTCTGATCGTAAGTCCGATTTTAAGAAAAATACTTATTCGCCAAAAATTCAATACCGAATCAAGTGCACTGTATTTAATACGGCAAAGAAGATTATAATGATTAATATAAAATAAAAACTATAAAGTTTTTACAAAGTTAATTATAATTTAGATTTTTTCTTGAAGCATCACTTATATATGATTATACAATTTTCTTTTCTTTAAAACCTAATGATTTTGTCACAATCCGCACTGTCTAAAGCGCGCTTTACATCACTTGGTAGTCCAGTGGCTCCTTTCCATTTGATATAATGGACAGTCTATAACAATGTGGCCTATAGTTATTTTGGTGTCACAGGCGTAGTATATTCTAGGAGGTTCCTTCCTTAGTAGGTGTTCCTGCGTCAGTCTGGTATGTCCTATTCGGATACGATGTAGTACAACCTGATTCCTTCGCTTTACTAAAATTGGTGTTTTCGCTGATAGATATGGGTTTGCTTGCCAGAATTTATTATTTGGAAAGAGTTGCCATCTTCTTAACCATAAGTGTTTTGTGTACTCATTGATGCATTTTTTTCATATCTGAGTGAGGAATTTGGTTAGTTCTATCATCGGATCTCTCCATTTTACAAGCTTTTTTGGCCATTTGATCAGCTATCTCATTTTCTGGTATCCCCACATGAGATGGTATCCACACAATATGTTGTTTTTTTTTATTAAAATGAAACATTGCCGCATCCACCAACAGGTTATTAGCGGCGTTATTTAGTAAACAAAACTTTAAATCTGATACAAAATATTGATTGACCTTAGGTAATTTAATAAGTTTTTTACGTGACAGTTTTCTCCTAATAAATCTTCTAGAGTATTTGGTATATTGTTTATTAAACGTTCTCTATGGTATTTTGGACACTCAATTAATAAATGGGCGACTGTAAGAGGCGTAGCACATAGGTCGCACAGGGGGCGTTCACTGTCCGAAAGTAAATATGAATGTGATCTTAGTTTGTCCTATACGTAGGCGCGTTAGAACCGTTTGAATAAACCATGTACTAGCACTAGTTTTCCACTGTCGTGTATCTGGTTTTAGCGATCTTAATTTAGATCGCGATAGAAACCATTCGCGCTGCCACTGACCAATCACTTTTTGATTAAAACATGTTTGATATCTTTAGATACACTCTCACGCAGTAATTCATATTCCGCACTTGTTGCTGCATCACGAGCACTACTGTCTGCCTCTTCATTGCCGATAATTCCTACATGCGATAGGATCCATATAAATTTAGGGGCTACGTGGTTCTCTTGGGCGATTTGTTCAGTTTTTATTAGTTGCTCCAGGGGCTGTTTAGGATAGAGATGCTGTATTGGAAGAAGAGAGCTGAGCGAGTCGGTGAGAAACAGAGATTTTGAAATTCTTGAGAGGTTTGCATGTTTTAGGGCACGGTACAAAGCAAACAATTCAGCGGTGCAAACACGTGAGCTAGGCGGTAGTTTAAATTTGAAAGTAGACGTTGGAGTAACAAATGCACAACCAATGCCATCATTAGATTTAGAGGCATCGGTAAAGATATTTGTGCAGTTAAGGTAGTCTCGTTCAAGAATCTCGTTTAGTTTGTTTTTAATTAGTATGTTGTGTTTAAAAAATAGCAGACTATTTTTTGGAGAACTCTATTAGAGAGGTGTTGCAACTTGGGTTGCTTATTAACCATGGAGCCGGATGTACAGTGAAATACATTTATGATTGTTGTATCAAAATTATTCAGAATTGATCTTACTCGAGTGTAATAAGGTTTTTCAGTACGAAGAGTAAAAGTTTAAAGAGAAAGTCAAGATTATTTTTAGAAAAAGTATTTTCGAAGAGTGGATGATCCTTATTAGCAGCTACAGAAGAAGCGTGTGAAAGTGTTAAAAGTGCCCGTCTATACTGCAATGATGGTTCTCCACTTTCAGAATATAAGCTTTCTATGGGTGAAGTGTGAAAAGCTCCGAGAACGATCCGAAGTGCGGCATTGTGGATTGTATCTAACGATTTAAGGGCACTCTTGGTTGCGGAGGTATAAACAATTGAACCGTAATCGAGTTTGGATCTAACTAATGTTTTATACAGAAGGAGTAGTGTAGAGAAGTCGGAACCACAGAAACGATTTGATACGGTTTTAAGCAAATTGAGTCTTTTGTTGCATGTTAGCGCCAAGTGTTGTATGTGCTTTTTCCAGGAAAGTTTTTGATTCAGCCATATACCAAATTAATTTCACGGAGTTTTGGAAGGGAATGATGCTGTTGTGAAGATAAAGGACTGGTGTAATGAATGATTTTTTCGTAAACACCATACCAGTTGTCTTTGTAACGGAGAATTTGAAGCCTGTACTAGCCGTCCATTCATTTAGTTAGGTTAAAAATGTCTCTACTATTCTGCACATAGATTCTTTTTGTGCTCCTTTAATATACAACACTAAATCATCAGCATAGAGGCGAGCTTTGAAAGGTTTATGTAATTTGTTTAATAGGTTGTTTATGGCAACTAGGAATAGGGTAGGACTAAGTACTGAGCCTTGTGGGGTACCGTTTTCTGCAGTATAAAAATCGGAATAAACGTTATTAACTCTTACTTGGAAGAAAAAGTCTTTTAAGAAATTTTCGATATAGGCTAAGCAGTGTCCTCTAATATTGGATGCGTGCAATTTTTTATTGATGTTGAATCTCCAACATGTATTAAAGGGTTTCTTTAGATCGAAGAAAATAGCTAAGCACATTTGATTCATTGCTAACGCTTGTTGGATATCACTTTGTAAGTCTACGATATTGTCAATTGCTGACCGGTTACGTCTGAAGCCGTGTTGCTCTGGTAAGAAGAAATGAGATTTTTCCAGTTTTCACATAAGCCGGGCATTGACTGTTTTCTCCATTAATTTAGCCATGGCACATGTTAGAGAGATGGGTCCGTATGATTCTGGATGTAGTCGAGGCTTTCTGGATTTTAAAAACGGCAAAATTGTGGCTTTTGCCCATATAGACGGATATTGTCGTTGCTGCCAAATTTGATTGAAAATTTGCAGTAACTGTTGTTTTGCTAAGATTGATAAATGCTTTAGGAATACAACAGGAATATTTTCGGGTCCTGGACTTGAGTTTTTCATATCTTGTAAGGAGTTATTTAGTTCTGTAATAGTAAGAGATTGAGATACACAATATGTAGTTGTTTATGATTATTTTGTAGAGTCACAAGGTCTTTTTTATCTGTTCTAAAATCGGATGATTCGGATATATTTTCTAAATTCCCTGGATTGCACTTAAGGAATATGTGAATATTACTGTCATGTCTTTAGGTCGATTAAGAGTTTGTTGTACTACCGTGGATATCGCAAAAAGTTCAGCAGAATATATTGAGTAATCCTTAGGTAGTGGAAACTTGAGCACAGAATCCTCTGTGACAATGGCGGATCCCACTGTTTCCTATTCGGGTGTTTTTGATGCATCGGTATAAACTAGTTAACAGGATGAATATTTATTTTCAATATTGTAGAAGTATTGGAGAAAAAGAGATGAAGGGATATTGTCCTTAGTATAAGTTGACAGATCTGTGTTACAATATGGAATTTGTATAGTCCAAGGGGAGCATAATCAATATTGGTATGCATAATACCTAGAAATGTGAATTTGCTAATTCTTTTGCTAACTGATGTTCGAAGATTAGGATTTTGATTGTAATTAGAATGCTAATGTCTGAAGAAAGCATAGAAGTAGGCCGGGTTGTTTGGATTAGTTGATAGCTTGCTTGCGTATTGTAAACTGAGACGTAATCTTCTAATAGAAAGTAGAGCTAGAGCTAAGTAGAGCCTAGAGCTAGTCTTAGTGCGGTATTTTGTACAATATCTAATTTTTTTAATGTTAAGTCCTTAGCTGAATTACATACAATTGATCCATAGTCTATTTTACTGCGGATTAAGGATTTGTAAATATTTAGTAGCTCTGTTGTGTCTGCGTCCCAGTTATGATTTGCTACTACTTTAAGAATATTTATGTTTCGTAAACATGAATTTTTAAGTAATTGGATGTATTTGTTTGAAGTAAGTTTTGAATCAAAAATCATAGCTAGAAATCTAAGTTCCTCAACGTTTTCTAAAACTTGATAATACAGTGTTAATTTTGGAAGATTTGCAACAATTTGGTGTTTTCGAGAAAAGCACATTACTTTGGTTTTAACCGTAGAAAATTTCAGTCCTGTTGTTTTAGACCATTCTTGTAGGTAATTAATAGAAAGTTGAATAATGATTGATTACATATTAAGACTCTTATGAGAAATTAGCATGCCATTTTCTTGTGTATAGTATTCTGAAAGTTTCTGATTTGATTTAACTCAGATATTTCTATCTTCTAGAAAATTTTTAACGAATGCTAGAAAATTTCCATCTATGCCCCAATGCTGCAAGGTATTTTTGTATGCTGTATGATTTTTACCCATGTATTTAGTGGCTCTAAACATCCAGTAGGTATAACCACACTTTTTGTAATTACCTTGGTCAAAATTTTAAATTTCACGTTTGATTTGATTAAAGTGGTTATACTTTTTAGGATAGCACTGATGATGAATAGTTATTCCGAAAACGTTCCGTATTTACGTTAGTCATTCGTTATCATATACAGAGCACTCTACAGTAATTTTGCAAAAGCGAAATTCTTGAAGGGTATCGCAAAATTATTAATTAAAATTTCGGTACTTTTTTTGGCGAATATTATTTGGCATGATATTTTCGGCGATTTAACTAATTGATTTGCTTAATTTCAGAAATATTCCTTAACAGTGACTTAGTCCAGTCACCAACTGATGACATATCATCCCCTTCCAGTCCCAACCCTTCGGAGATGGGAGACGTAACTGATTCTTTTTCAGAGCTTAGCACGTTAGATGGCGATGAAATGAGTGAAGAGCTTTTATTAGAAAATAGGTGTTTTCAAGAATTGGAAACACAAAAATCTTTTGCTCAGGAGCAAGGTGACGAAGACACGGTGATACAAGACATTAGCCTTGTTGTAAATGCCTTAATTTGTGACCCTGACTCATTAACCGGTGTTACGAAGAAGAAAATTAAAGAGTACCAACATCAAATTAATTCGTCGCAGATAGGTTGGGCTAGACTAAGGGTCGAAACGGATATCAGTATATTAGGTGTTTTACTTTTTGACTGGATAGAAAGTTTAAAAGTTCCCATAATCAAAATGGAGGATTTTGAAAATATTGTGGTGCATTATAAAGAGCCCGAACTGTGCATTCAGAAACTGTCTATGGTAAGAGTTTAACAATAATCAGTTTCAATTAATGTTTCATCAGTTAATTAAATCATCTTCTTTAGAATGACTTTATTGGTCTTTTAATTGTTATTTAAATTACTCACTTTCTGTGTCCGAATCATTTCTTTCAATCTTGTATGGCCTTTTCACTGGTTGCTGTGCTGTGCATTAAAGTACAGTAATCTCAAATATGATGCAAAACAGTAAGTACTCAGAGTTCTATACTTCGCAGCAGATATTTCGTCTCTCTCATCCTCTGAACATTGCCCACGCTTAAATTTTGGCTTTCATCGTGATATATTGGTTCTGTGATCATTAGGGGATTACCATACGGTGTAAGGAAATTGGTATCCTTAGGATCTAGGACACCAATAAAGTTTCACTGCACTGTCAACCAAAGTCAAAAGCTTTTTGGCTTCGATTGACAGTTTACCTGTCTTCAATAGTTTTACTACTCTGGATTTGTGTCATAGCAATGGTATCTAAGCCAGCTGCTTTACCAATTATAATTAATGAAATTCTAGTTTTTCTTGCCTGTCCAAGGTGTTTCTTTTTACGTTATTATTTTTGTTATATTCTGTTATAAAGTTGTAGGAGCAATGCTAAGATTTTTTAATAGTTTAAAAGTTTTTTAATATGTATATTAATTAGAGTTAAAGAACAATCGCTAGGAAGATATTTACGTATTATATAAAATCTGTCGTAATAACTTTTGATGGAATTTTTAACTGTTTTATAGGAAGAATGCTATTTGATTGAATATCTACTGAAGTTTTTATTGAAACTTCAACCAGTTGGAAAGGAAAACCAAGAAAATATGCTAAAAAGACTAATAGGAGCATTATCCAAACATAGCGTTTTGATAAACAACGATATAGTTCCCTCTGGTAAGAATTTTAATTTTTTATTTATTATTAAAGTTATTTCTTTATAGGTAAAGAAATAATAATAAGACTTACTCACAATCAATTTAATTTAACAATCAGACGACCGGTTTCGCTTTCTACAATTTGCAAAGCATCTTCAGGTCTAGATACAAAGTTAAACTAATGCTGCAATAAAATAAACCCAATTAGGGTGGTGTCTAATAAAGATAAAATAAACAAATAAGTTAGTTCATACAAATTCAGACAAGGTAAGACCCACAATTGGTATAAAGTAGTAATATTATATTGTAATAAATTAATTAATTTATTACAATATAATATTACTACTTTATACCAATTGTGTAGTACCTTTGTACCAATTGGTATAAAGTAGTAATATTATATTGTAATAAATTAATTAATTTATTACAATATAATATTACTACTTTATACCAATTGTGGTACAATTAATTAATTTATTACAATATAATATTACTACTTTATACCAATTGTGGGTCTTACCTTGTCTGTTAATACCTTTTATATATTCAAATTTATTCATTTTGAAAACCACAGACATGTAATATTCTCATAATTACTATAATTTGTATGAACTAACTTATTTGATTACTTTATCTTTATTAGACACCACCCTAATTGGGTTTATTTTATTGCAGCATTAGTTTAACTTTGTATCTAGACCTGAAGATGCTTTGCAAATTGTAGAAAGCGAAACCGGTCGTCTGATTGTTAACTTAAATTGATTGTGAGTAAGTCTTATTATTATTTCTTTACCTATTTGATATGGACTTACACAAGCAACACATTCATTATTTCTTTATATTTCCATATAGTATTCTTCTCACGGCGCCGTCTCCTTTCAAATGTTGGCGATCCAAATGGCAATTGTAGTTTTGGAAACAGTCTTTCAGCCACGAGTTCTGGCGTCTTCCTACTGATCTTTTGCCTTATAATCATAAGCTTATTTTATATCAAAGAAGGTAGCTATTTTGATTCTAAAAAGAATTGTAACCGTATATTTAAAAATTTTTCTAGTAATTTACATAAAGAAGATGTTAAGGATATTGGTCTATAAGATTCCATGTTTAACTTGTTTTTGTTAGGTTTCAAAAGAGGAATTATTGTAGCGGTACTCCAGGATTTAGAAAATTGTTTAGTCGAAAATGAAAAGTTAAATATATAAGAGTAGATGTTTAGCAGTTAAAGGAAGATTAATTAAAAACAATTTGGAATTTCATCTGGTACAGGACTAGAGTTTTTAAGCCCTTGTAGTGCTTCGTTTAGTTCTTGCATACTTATTGCAACATTTAGCGGTCTGATGGAATCTGTAATTTTGACCTCTTTTTCTATTTTCTTTTCGACAATAATGGGTCATGTATGGAATCACTTGAATATGTCTGAAATGGGTTCGCTAAAGCGTTGGTTATTTGAATGTTGTTTATAATTAAGTTTCCATCAATGTCCAGAGAACTACATTTCTTTTTGTATAGTGCTCGGTTTTATAACATAGTGTTTTTTTTAGCCAAGGGATTTAAGAAGATTGGTGAAGGGACCTTAACGTGTACCTACCACTTGTTCCAATCATTGGCGGAAATGATAGAGAATCATCAAAGTGAAAAACCTGATATGTATACCAACAACGAGGAAAAAATATTCGAAAATTCTGATGTTGAAGACGGCTTCCAATGAAACTACTACTACCTTACAGACAAGGTTTATAAAAATATTTAAAATAACTTCTATTTATTGATTGACATTTATGTTTTGTAAATATGAAAATTGTGAGTTGAAATATATGACATGTGAAAGATATTAAACGTTATTTGAGTACTTTCTTGTTTTGTTGCAGTTACAATATATAGATATACAAAAATTAAGTATATAACAGAACAAACTACGTACCAGACACTTACCAACAATCGTAGTGACTGTATTGGAATTGGTTACGACTTAAAATTCCACCCCCTACCTACCTACCCTTTAAAAATATAGTCTTTACCTGACGAAGTCCTGGATGCATTTCCATCTCCGACCACAGATCAACCATCAATAATAATGGAAGACCTAAGTGCCAGATCTCCCAATTGTAACGATAGAGCTACAAACAGAAACGAAAGAATTCTGAATAACTGTCCAGAAATAACAATGTTTCAACAATCCATCAGCAAAATGGAACGATTTCCGCGCTCGCTGGAAGCTATTTCAGACAGATTTAGAGAAACAATTATCTACATTTTTATCATCTATTAATTTTTCTAACGATAAGAAGACCTACTCTTTCAAACCTTCTCTCTAGCTACTTCCAATTCCATGCTCATAAAAAACCTTTTACTCCTTCAACGCCAAGGTCTTATTGGTGGGATGAGAAATGTACAAATAAATTAAAAAACAAAAACAATCAGAAGCCTTGAAAGCATATCGAATGCAAAGTAACCACAATAATTACATAAACTTTAAAAGTTAACAGCCCAAACCAAACGATTATTTAAAATAAAGAAAAATGTAGTTGGATAAATTTTTCAAATAGTCTGAACAAAAGCACACTTCTCTCAAAAATACGGACAACCGTCAGATCAATTTCCAATAACTATTAGTATAACAAAAAACCTAAACTTTCTGAAGATCTCATTAACCCTCCGTTAGTCGCTATCGGTCTCACACACCGACGACAGAATTATTCATTTGGGATTTACAAATAACTGTTATTTTTCTATCGCTACTTTCTGTACCTCTCCCTATCAACCAAACTCGTGTTATTGTACATTCTTACATTCCTGGGTACAGTTGTGTAAGTTTTACAGTTATTTTCGGTGCCAGAGTCCGTAGCGACTAACGGTGTAGCTATTATTTGTTGCAGAACTTGCAGAACAGGTAAATATTTATCATCTTATTATTACGTTTTATCGGTAAGTTTTTGTCAATTCTTATTTATAGATGTTCTTTGAAGCCAAACAAGTTTGACTCCAACTCTTGTTGGAATTATGGACATGTTTCCTACCCACTATGAAAATTATTTTGACGATAAGGGAAGTGAAAGCGAAATAGATCAAATTGAGGTGGTGATGGTGAAAATGAATCGAAACAAGATGTGACAGATGAGAAAAACGAAAGTGGAAGTAACACCTTAGCGTTTATTGGAAAATATAGCGTTACTAGATGAAAAAAAGCTGTTCCACCGTAAAATGTTTGAACAAGACAAGAAAATTATATAGTACGTAATACAAACTAATGTTTGTATTTTGAGAACGATATCCGATGTGCAAATTAAAACATCAATGAACTTACTTTAACATTTAATTGTGGCTTATTCCCATTTAAACAGTAATTAGTTAAAAATACCACAAGAAAATAGCTTCAGAACAATATTCACAATATATTGTTATACTAGTGTTTTTCATTTTATATCTGTTTTTTTTTTCAAAAAAATATTTTCAAAAATATTTTTTAGTTATTCCTATACACAATATAAAATATTTGTATGAATTTTATAATAAAAACAATTTTTTTTAATTGTCGGTCTCAGACACCGTAGCGACTCTTGATGCTCAGTTTTTCCTAGCGACTAACGGAGGGTTAAAAAGATACTAGACCAACTTGCACCTTCATTTGCATCTAGGAACGTTCTTGGTAGGAGTAAAGAAATTTTTCGTTTTAATACTAGTAGATTCCATGTCAAAACCTTTTACTTATTCAGAACTAGATTTTGCACTAAAAAAGCAGAAATACAGTCCCTGGTTTAGACGGTTTTACTTATAAGCTATTGGACAAATTGCCGTCAAATGCCAAAGACGTCAAACTATACGAGAGACTCATACTCGTTAGAATAGAAAAAAATGTCAAAAATGTGGACAAGCACCTTATCCCACAACAAGGAGGATTCAGACCCGGCAAATCTTGTACCGGTCAAGTCCTCGAAACAACAGAACACATTGAAGATGTCTTTGAAGAAAAACTTATAACAGGGGCCGCTTTCGTAGATTTGACAGCAGCCTATGATACAGTAAGGCACAAAATATTGCCCCGCAAATTATACCACACTCTCAATGACCACCATCTGGATACGGTCGTATATTCCTTGCTACAAAACAGACGTTTTTTCGTTATGCTGGAGGGTAAAGTAAG